TCTATAAAGGGAAACCTATCAGAATTACAACAGCTTTCTTAACACAAACTTCAAAGGCAAGAAGAGCATGGAATGAAGTGTTCCAAACTCTTACAGAAAACAACTTCTGACTCAGCTTGTTTTATCTTGCAAAACTATATTTCAAAAGTGATGGAGATATAAGTTAATTCCATGAAGAAGAAAACCTAAGGAAATGCATGACCGCCAAACCAACACTCCAAAAATTTCTCAAGGATATCATAGAAGGAGACAATGATGCTAACGATGCCAAAAGGTCTAATAAAAATGAATGCATTAGGTACTGCTAGAAATTAAGTAAAATGGAAAGAAAGCAAAACAGCAACAAGAAAGTAATACAAGTATAAGTTAATACCTATCGATTGTTACTAACAATGTAATTGGATTCAACTCACCAATCAAAAGACACAGATTAGAAGAATGGATCAATAAACAAAATCCAACAGTATGCTGTAAACAAGAAACAAATTTAATACAAAAAGAAATTATAGACTAAAAAATGAAAGGACAGAAAACAATATTCCATCCAGCAGGAACATGAAAATAAGCATGTAGCAGCTATCCTATTTTCAGACAAAGAGGATTTCAAGCCAAAGCTGATCAAAAGAGGCAAAGCAGGACATTCCAGGTTAATGGAACTTTCAACAAGAAAAGATAACAATTACAAACATATATGCACCAAAACATGGAGCACCCAACTTTATAAAACAATGAACATAATATAAAAATGAACATGATATCAGATAAACATCAACACCCACTATCACAAATAGATCAACTAAAGAAATAACAAAGAAATACCATTGTTGAACCAAGCTTTTGAACAAAGGAATTTAATAGATATATACAGAGTGCTCCACCCATCACAGTAGAATAGATATTCTTTTCAGGTACATGTGGTACCTTCTTTAAAATAGGTCACGTTAGTGAATAAAGCATGTAAACAAATGGAAAGCAATAAAAATTTTACCATACATATTTGTCAGATCACACTGCAATGAAATTAGTAATCAATAACAATGGAAACCACAGAAACTATGAAGACATATGGAAATAAAACAACAAACTCTTGAATAATCAATAGGTTACAGAGGAAATTAAGGAAGAAATAAGAGAGTTCCTAGAATTAAATGATAATGCCAGTAAAACATACCAGAACTTTCAGGACACAATGAAAGCAGTCCTATGAGGGAAGTCCTACAGCAGTGAATTCCCACATAAGAAAAACAGAGAGAACCTAAATAAATAACCTATTGATGCATCTCAAGACCTTAGAAAAACAAGAATAATCTAAACTCAGAGGTGGTACAAAGAAGGAAATTGTAAAGTCCAGAGCAGAAATTAACAAAATGGAGACTAAAACACAGTACAAAGACTCAAGAGTTGGCTCTTTGAAAGAATACACAAAATAGACTCTTAGCCAATCTTACAAAAAAAAGGGAAAGCAACAGACACAAACTAATGCAATTAGAAATGAAAAAGGTGAAATCACAATGTGAACTGGCAAAATCCAGAATATTATTAGCAACTAGTTCACAAATATACATGGTTAGACAATCTGAAAACTCAAAAGAAATGTAGAGATTCTTAGATATATGTGAATTATCAAAACTGAACCAAGACTTAACTATCATGAACAATCCAGTAACTGACAAGGAAATCAAAGCAGTAACTGCCAACTAAGAAAAGCCAAGGACCATGATGGATTCACAGGTTAATACTACAGAATGTCAGGGAAGATCTAACACTAGTACTCTTTAAAACCTTTTAATGAAATTGAGAGGAGTACTTCCAAAATCATTCTCAGAAGCTAACATTATCCTGATCCTAAAACCAGAAACATATAACCGAGAGACACGCTACAGCCTGCAATCTCACAAAATTTCATCAAGGTTATCAAGGGCAAGAAAGAACTAAGGAATGAGTTATGAGTTATTAATGGGACAGCTGTCAAAATTCGAATGGAGGTTTGTAGATGAATAAAAGAAGTGGATTTTTGTGTGTGCTTTTCTTCCAGCTTTTAAGTTTGAAGTTATTTCAAAACAAAAAATTAATTTCAGAGAGAGACAATATAGGCATCTTGATGGAGGAGTATTTTGCCAACTGTGAAATGTTCTTACTTTTAAAAAAAAAATCTGACTCGACTCTTTATCCATCTACTAATATACTGAAAATACTATGTTTATAGAAGCAGGAAAATGCAGATGATAGCAAGATCTACAAGGCCCAAAACCAGATTTCAACTAACAAATTAAGGAGAAAGAGATACCAGAAACACAAGTTTAAGAATTTTGAACTTTATTAGCACCAGTTACAATATATTGACACTTTTGGATTCCAACACACTGCAAATGTTCTAAATAATTGTGAGATATAAATAAGACAGCAATAAAAATTGGAACACTTTAGCTATTTAATGACATTAAGCAATTATTATTAGTTATTTTAGTTATGGTAAAGACGATAAGGTTGTTTAATGAATAAAATGGCGTGGTGCCTTTACTTTGATTCCAAGTTAAAAGCATGAGGGGAAGTGACTGTTATGGTGAGATGATGGGTAAGTGGTATTTTCTGTTGTTTTGGGATAGATTCTGGTTTTTTGCTTTATTTTTAAATAGTAGAATTGAGATTTAAATCTAGGTCTGTCTCATTTCAAATTGTAGTTCTTGATGAAATTTCTATTTTCAACACAAATATTTAAGTACATCTACAATAAGTCTTTCTATGAATTAATTAGCCAACAGTTTAAAAAACTACTTCCCACTCCAAATCCTATATATATAACTACTTTATAGATGAGATACACATTTCAAAAGTTAGGTATGAAATACATTTTATTTTTTCAGTGTATCTCTAATTAAAAATTACCTGCATTTGTATAATAAGGAAAATTTTAATTGAAAAATATTTTTTGGAAAGGTAAAAATTATCTCATCTAGAGAACCACAAAAGAGGGAGCAGAAATTTCCTGCAGGGCATTTGGAGATTTGTAGGGTTTTCTGGTTGTCTTTGGAACCTGGGGACACTGGTAGATTTGGGGGGGGCAGTGTTAACTGCCATCACTGCTCAGAGCACTTCTTTATAATGAAGAGTTGTCCCACCCGCAAATCTAAGAGAAACCCTGCTGAAAAACACCAAGAAAGAGCTAATATTCTGACACAACAAAGAAGTGGGAAAAAGGTTTGTTAAGACTATTAAAACTTGTTGGCTGAAGTGTTGCTTAGGGGAAAAGAGTTAGGAAAAAAGGAGAAAAGAAACAGAGGTATGAGCTCAATAGGATAGGTTTATTTCAGAACAAACAAAAGAGGGACCACTCTAAGAGACTAGACCAGCAACTCTATACAGGCCATTGGGTCTTTTTTAGGGTCATGGGGAGAGGGGAGTTCAGTGAAAGAGGATTGTGGTTACCTGGCAAAAATAAGCTTGAGAGCGCACTAGCAATAAATAATGGTTGCCCAAGAACAAGACTTGGTAAAGTATAGGGAGTAGTTGCTACTATGAATAGTAAGGCTGATGTTATGAGTCCTCAGGTGGAGCTGTGCTGGGATGGGGTGGTTTAGAGAGTTTTCTGATCAGAATGGTGGCACTTGGGTTTCTTCAAAAAGAATATTCTTCCAGGGAAGCACCAAGCAGACATCATTACTACATTTGTTTTAAGAGCACTTCTCTCTAAGGCCAGGAAAACTAAGAGTAAATCTGGCATACAGAAACTGTCCACAAATGGCAGTTGCCAGGAGTATCAGTTGTATTCACATACAGCAGGCAGATGAAAGAGGATCTACAAAAATAAGGAATTTAGGCACACTGGATCAAAGGGAACTCCCCCTGGTGGAGCGGCCAGATTCCAACAAGCACACAAGGAGTTTTGAGAACAAACTGCTCCTGGCAATCCCTGAAGTATAACCCTTCAGTTAGACAATTCCTTCTTCACTATCTGACCAAAGAAGCCATATCCTCAGAAGATATCCTGCAAAGTTAGGTATACAGTAGGACTAAAGGCACTTAGGTGAAACCTAGAGTGAGCAGTTAGAAAATAATGCTACGAAAGCATCACCCAGTAAAATCACTCTACATTTCTCCTGGGTAGTATGGATGGGAGCAGGAAGGCCAATATTAGGGTTTGGATCTTAATTGTCCCACGAAGGTCCAAGTACTATATGTTTGGGTGCCAACTTGGGGCACAGCTGGGAAGTGGTGGAACTGTTAGCAAGTCGGGCCTAGTAGAAGGCAGTTAGCCATGGCCTCCATGAGGTGAGCAGTTTCCTCTGCCATAATATACTGCCTCACCATAAACCCAAAAGCAAGAGGGCCAACTGACCATGGACTGAAACCTCTGAAACTGTGAGCCACAAGAAACCTTTCCTCCTTTACGGTGACTCATCTCAGGTATTTTGCCACACTGAAAGAAATCTGACTATCAGCCAACAAGGCCAGAGTGGAGTCAGGGCAAGCTTCCAGCTCAGGAGTGTGAGACAGGAGCAAGTGTAGCAGCAGGAGTCCAAGTTATAGCACACTTCAGCACACTTCTTTGCATGAGATGCTGTTAAAAAAAAATCAAAACTGTGTGGGAAGGTGACGGAAGAGTGAAAATAACACTGGGAGAAGTAGGGCTCCAGTGCTTCTGAATGTGCTCTGTAAGTGGCACTTGCAAGAAAATGAAGGAGAAAACAATGAACAGCTGACTCACAAGTAGGCGTTTGATGATAGGAGCAAAGGCATATTCTTGGTCTAAGATAATAATGCAGGAGACAAACATGTTTGAAACTTCCCTTCTAAAAAGGACAGGATCATTATTCAGGATTTTGAAAAGGAATCCTAATGCACCAAAGAGGTAAGGCAGAAATCAACAAAAGGCCTTAAAAACACCTGGATCTTACCAGTTCCAAATGAAGAATTTTGCCTTTGCTTTTACGTTTATTCACACACATACATGTATTAAATACTAGGTACAAAGAGAGAAAAATATATTTAGCAGATATTACCTTTCATGCTTGCAGCACTCCCACTGCTTTTCACCAACATGGAATATGGTTGCTCATTGTGGGGCATGACTCCTGCAGCCATGGTAATCTGGTGAAGAAAAGAGATTACTTTTGAAAGGTTGTCTTGGATATTCATTTACTAATCACCCATAATGTGCTAGGCTTCCGCTATCCAGTACATCAGTCCTCAGCTAAGTGGCTACTGATACTTGAAATGTGGCGAGGCCAGGTGAAGACTTGCTGTTAATGTAATAAAAGGATTTTGAAGACTTAGTACAAACATAAAATATCTCAGCAGGAATTTTTAAACTGACCACAATGAAATGATATTTTTGGTACACTTGATTAAACAAATACATCACTAGGCTGGGGATTTAGCTCAATGGTTCTGCCACCTGCCTTGCAAGCAGGAGGACCAGAGTTCAATCCCCAGTACCAAAAAGCAAAAACAAAAAAACAAAACAAAATTATTAAAGTTAATTTATGGCAGTTCTGGAGATTGAGCCCAGAGCATTTGCTCTGAGCTACAACCCAAGCTATTTTATTTACTTATTTTAGGAGACATGGTCTTGCTAAATTCCTCAGGTGAGAGTTGAACTTGTGATCCTTCTGCTTTAGCCACCCAGAGTACCTGGATTATACTGTGTGTCACCATACCCAGGTTTCTTTTTATTTTTATTGTTGCAACAACAACAACAAAAACCTAAAATTCAGTATACGTGGCTCACATGAGCTATGTAGTAAGGACATTATGGAGAAAAATGACAGATACTCTCCTCTGTGCATCCAGTCCATTAGAAGTTAAGGCATGGACCAAAACAATACTAACTTTTTGAAGTGTCTGAAGGTAGATGTGACTTCAAGGAGAAAAGAGCATTTGTTCTGGGCTGTAAGAAAAATGTTTATTTTGTAAGGTAGGGAATACTAGGCAATGAACAGAAGTCTTTGCTGTACTGAAGAGAATTGTTCCAAGTGATGATTTCCTCAGTTTCTACCTTTAATCTATAGCTGCCAGTCTTTATCTAGCCCATGTCCTCATCTACCTCTGCTAAATCATACAGCTTAGTGATTGTCATGTTACTCAAGTGCCATGGTTTCCTGTGAGGAAAATTAAGCAAACCCTTGGATATGTCAATTATCATTTCTCTTAATCATTTATTAAATGCCAGATACAAATATTAAATCACTTTTTTATAACAAGAACTCTGCAAAGTAGATATTAGTCCCTACTTAGTAGGTGAAATAGACAACACTAGATTGAGTTCCTTGAATCTATTCATGTTTTATTTATGTATCCTAAAGCCCAATGAATACATGGTTAAAAAGTGCTTGTCAGGCCAGGTATGGTGGTGCACACCTGAAATCCCAGCAGTCCGGGAGGCTGAGGCAAGAGAATCCATGCTCAAACCCAGCCTGGGCAACTTAGCAAGATCCTGTCTCAATTTTATTTATTTATTTATTTTTATTTTTTTCTTTTTATTGTGTTTACTGGTACAGCTTAGGTATACAGTACAGTTATGCATTACTGGGATCTTGTACCTTTACATGATAGGTCTTGATTCTCACTTTTTCCCCTTGTCCCTGCCCTCCCTTCACCCGACCCCCATTTACAAACACTTTATTTCCATTTTTTCATTTTCTGGTATTTTTTGCTTTATTTTCTCTTTCTGTTGTTTTGTTTGTTTTTGTTTTATGTCTCAATTTTTTTTAAAAAAAGGTCTGGAGATAAACTCAATGTGAAGATTCTGGGTTCAACCCATAGTACCACAAAAAAAAACCCAAAAAGTAAAACAAGTGTTTCTAACCAGCCTCCCTCCAAACTTAACACTGGAAGGAACCTCAGAAGACCTTTAGCATAACCCTAACCAAGCAAGAGCACCTAACCTCTCGATAGAATCTTTGTTTGAACACTGACAGCACTACACAGCTCTGGTAGTTGGAGAGCTGTTAACAATGCTGCCATTCTCATTTCTATCCATTGTTACTATTGCTGCCCACAAGGAACAATACACACTTTTTTCTATACTCTAAGGCTGGGGATCCGGTGCCCATCATGCCTGCTTTGTATACTCCGAAGCAATGCGCCAGTGGTTCTTATCTTTTCTTACGAGGAGTGTTCTAAATGCCCCTACCAGCCTGGACGCCCTTTCCTATTCACACTCTATAGTCGTTAATATTCTGCTTAGAATATTACTACTCATTAATATTCTCTCTATGGGACAGAAACAGTCACCTCCTGTGTTAGACAGTGTATGTTCCTATTATCACATTAGTATTTTAGTAGACTCAAGACACATCAGGATATGGCAAAAGACAAAGAAAAGTCCTGGGTAAAATAATCTGCAATACTTATGTTAAAAATAGACATCCACTAAGAATAATGAAACATATATAAAAGTCTAAATGAATGGTACACAATGAAAAGTAAGGGCTCCATCTCGGTCTACCTTCATAAGTTTTACTCCTAGATGTAAACAATTTCAATATTTGCCTTAGTTGTTCTGGAGGGCAATCAGTATACTTAATTAGCTCATCCTTTTTTGTTGCTTCTTAAGACAGGTGTCAAACTCCTGGTGATCCTCTGCCTCAGCTTCCTGAGAGTGGCACCTGGAGGTACACAGTTAGGTATGTGATTCTTACACAGAATTATTATGTCTAAACATAAAATCAAATTCATGATATAAAGGAAAAGAAAACTGTTTCATTTACTTCCCTTCTAGGTCAAGCCTTCTTCTATTTAACATATCACATATGATTATCTGTATAATTTAAAATAATATCCTTTAACTATTTCTTCTCCTAGGACCTTTGAAAAATACCTTGATTTTATGTAAAATAACTCAAACAATTCACCTGTTTACTGTTCCTTCCCCTGTATTTTCAAGTTTTGCCAAGTATGCCATTTCCATTACATCAAGTTTTGAACATTTAGGTAACCAACAATCCATCAATTTCTCATGCTTGGTTTATGCTTTTATTTTAAAATGTGACACAAAATACAATATAGTTATCTGTATGATCATGAAGTTGAAGATTATAGCTACGTGGCAATCTGTACACACTCACAGACTTAATTTTAACCTAGTACAGCACTTAGACAAGTATGGAAAAAATTGTCTGTAATTTTTTATCACCAAACCTGTGTTGATCAAAGTTAAACATTCCAAGCATCAGCTGCTTAAAGCAGGGACATATTTTATTTCACTGCCAATCTGGACAATACATTTCTTTTCCAGACTTCTCCCTGGATTATAATCACCTTTTCTTACTAAGCAAAGTAAATAAATAGTCATCAAATATGGTAATAATATCAACTACCTATCTTTTGAAGATTTTTTTCCTTATGCTCCCTGGATTCCTTTTCTGTTAGGACCAAGGGTTCCTAGGCCTCCTATATACTTCACAGTCCAGGGTCTCTTTATTCCCACTCCTGAGTTGAGGCCGTTCCTCTTGGCTTCTGCTACATTCAAGTTATTTTTTTCTTAAAGAGTGAATGTAAGGTAAACTAAGTCTTTTCATTGTGAAAATATCTTTGCATTATTCATACACTCAGCTGAGAATTGAGCTCCTTGTACAACTCTAGGTTGAGAGCTACATGTGTCAGCACTGTGCAAGTACTGTGCTGTGCTCCAGCAGACAATACTGATGACAAGTCTGATGCCAGGCTGAGACAAGTAGCAGATAAGCAATAGGATCCTTCTCTGCGGTGTTCTGAAATTGTGCCATGATGTGTATTGGAACCTTTCAATATCTCTGGGGCTCTTGGGTTGGACATTTTTCCTTTTTGAGACCTTAACTGCAAAGTCTAGCCCCTTCAGCCACACTGAGTTCTGCTCTTTGTGTGTCCCTTGAAGCCCTGGTCTAGGTCTTCTTGCTCAGTTTAAGTCAGCAAACTCTCCCCAGGGAGAGAGCAATCCTAAACTCACTAGGTTTACTTTTCTTCTCTCAGCAACTGAAACCCTGAGCTACTTCGCTTTTCCATGTCAAAAAACCAGTTTTCATATATGGTGTCCAGTATTCTAGTTAAAGTGGGAAGATACACCTGGTCTCTTTTATTTTGTGTTGTTTGCAAGTACAATCCCCCCCCACCTGCGAGTTACTTTCATAAAACTCAAGTCAAGGGGAACTCTGAAACAGGAACCAGTGTGTGCTGTGTTGGCATAAAAACACTGATAGTCCAACTGTACATAATCGGTGCCCCCCGATTACAGTTTTGTATGTAGTGGAGTCAGAAGTCCTGGGTTTAAATCTTGACTCTGTTCATTGTCAGATATATGAATCATTTTCAGATTGATTTCTTCTATATACTGAAAATTATACTTTCTGGGGTTGTGAGGATGAGACAGACTTTGTGCATATTTTTAGCAAAAGGCCTGGCATATGGGCATTTAGTAAATATTTGTTATTTTAACTTGTACATAAGTATCTATAATATCATTTTGTTTCTTTTCCTTCCTATTCTGTCATCTCATTTTGCTCCATTTTATTATATGTGTTGCCGAAGCAAGCACAATTTTGCTCCAATTTTTAAGAATTTGGAAAGAATTCTATTCAGTACCTGTCCAACAGTCCTGCTAGTAGACAGTCATGGCTGAGCTTCCAAGAACTTATGAAAACATTACCTCCATTCACAAGTGAATTCAGTTCACATGCCTGTTTACAGAATGAGAAGGAAAGGGTCTAAGCAGTACTTCTGGCAGCTCACCGCACAATCCCTTATTATGTCCTTTCAGTTCCAGTGACAAGTATTTAGCTCACTCAGGCCTACAACTCCATTTTCCCCTAAAAGCTCCCCAAAGACTAAATGGTTCAGTTAGTCACATGGAAATTAGCACTACTGCATAAAACTCAGGTACGGCAATGAACGATTACTCACACCGTGAAGAGGAGTAGTCACCAAGCAGGAGACTGATAGAAAGAACGCACTGCTTCATAAACAAGTCATTTCACACAGAGCCTGGGTTCTGAGATGGTTTGAAGAACTGTTAGATCACTACTTCCCCTTGTACTTTCCAGAGACACGGTGTCCTGACAAAACCTCCAGGTGGATTTTTGGAGAGAACTGCGTGGGGGACACTGGATTAGGCGGTGCCTGGGCGGGTGAAGTGGTGCAATCCTTCGCAGATGCTCAGGGCACCAGCACTCCTACCGTGCAATGCCTCAGGATTATCTTGGATGCTGGGGAAACAGATTCCTTGCTGTCGCTCTGAAAGCCTCTGTGCTGGGAAGTCGGAGAAGGATAACAGTCCATACAGTAGCAGTGATACTCTAGATTATTCTGATACCAGAGGGCTATGCCAACAGTTAAAGCAACACTGCACTGATACATCAACGTCCCCTGAAGGCCATCACTTACATGATGCTTCGCTTTGGGGACTGTACATTCTATGGGTTAAGACAAATGTTTAACGACACGGCCTATTAATCCCCTGTTGCCTGTTACTCAATTTTCGCTTTTCCTAACCTCTGGCAATTACTGACCTTTTGACTGCTCCACATTTTTGCCTTTTCCAGAGGGCTACACAGTTGGAATCTCACTGCATGGAGGCTTTTCAGACTGGTTCATTTAAGCTTCCTCCATATCTTTTTATGGCTTGATGACTTCTCCATTGTCTGGATGTACATAGTTTATTGTTTATTTTTGTTGTTGTTCTTGTTTTTGAGTCAGTGTCTCCCTTTATAGTTCAGGCTGTCCCTTAACTCATTATGTAGCCCAGGCTGGCCATGAACTTGCAGCAATTCTACTTCTTCAGCCTCCTGACTGCTGGATTACAGGTGTGCACCACCACGCCCAGCTCGGTACATAGTTTATTTATCCATTCACCTACTAATCGTTATTTGGGTCGCTTCCAAGTCTATGCACTTACTAGTAAAAATGCTGTAAACATATATGTATAGGTTTTGTGTGGACCTAAGTTTTTAGCTCATAAATATCAAGGAGCATAATTTTTAGACCACAATTATTTACATTTTACATGTGAGGAAACTAAAACAAAATAAAACAACGTCCTTAAAGTCACACATCTATTAAGTAGTAGAGTTGGGAATCTGAATTCATCTCACTTGCATTTCTCCCCTGCACCATGAAACACACTTGTCCCATTGAATTGTATCAGTGATTCATGAACCACTCAACATTCTGTCTAGAAAAGCAGCTTGGATGTGTGTACTGTGATAACCAACTCGACTCCATCTTGTGCCTTGATGCCATTTTATACCTGTGCTTGAATAAAGCACCCAACACCCCCACATACTGCTTGGCAGTAAACTCGCTGCCGTTGCAGGATGTTTTGTAGCTCACCTAGTGTGTGTGAAACATCTTTGTGCCTCCCACTAACCTGGCATGGTTCTGCTTCTGTAAGATTCCGCTTGCTCTCTTGAGCCCTACCCAACTGAAAGCATGACTTAAAAGGAGAAATCAAACTGCTTCCTATTTCTGAGGAAACTTTCTGGGCGCTAGCCCCTCCTTGGCCACCAGCTATAATAAATGAGCTGGACTCTGGCACCGAGTGTGGTACATCTCTATTGTTTGAACTCGCTCATCCGTAACAGTACCTAAATGATTAGCTTTATCAGGGACAAGAAAATAGTACGGCACAAATAGCAGACTGGTTTTCATCAGGTTAGACTTTGTTTGTATGGGTTGAAGGTCGGGGAATTCTATACCAGTTCAGGTTGACAGATCCTCTTGCCTCAGCCTTCTGAATATCTGAGATAACAGGCAAGTCCAACAGCCCCACTGAGTTTTAAAGTTGCAGTTTGACTGAGTAGCTCTTAGCAAAAGGGACTCCAGTTTGGCTTAGTCTGCTGGAGCCTTAGTGTAAGAGTTCAGTCTAAATAATGGACTCCCAGAAATTTATTTTATAGATCCCACACTGAATAATAAATTCATTGTATTTTATGCATTTACATCAGCTATATCAGATTCTACACCATTATTTACATCTATAATTTCTTTACTTGCCAAGAAAAAAATTTTTGTTTTGTTTTTTGAGACAGGGTCTCACTATGTAGTTAAGACTGATATGGAACTCACTATGTAGCTCAGGCCGGTCTTGAACTCACAGCGATCCTCCTGCCTCAGCCTCCCGAGTGCTGGGATTACAAGCCTGTGCCACTATGCCCTGATACTTGCAAGAAATTTTGTTAATCATCTTTTCACAAAAAGATTTGTTTGGTTTTGTTCTTTTGTGATAAACCCAAAGGTTTATCCACTGATGACCCAAACACAAGTTTTAGGAACATACCCCCTTATACATTTTAGCTGTCTCCCTCCCAAAAGGAAAAAAAAAGTGCAGAATGTCTGCCTGTAAGATTACACAAAAACATTTTTAATAGAGAGGCAGGCACATGTTGGCTTTGTGATCTCAGGCACATTTATTAACGTATTCAAGACCTACTAGCTCCTCTACTGGATTACTATAAGGACTATGCAGACCAAATTGCAGGCCTGACACATAATTCTCTAGCCAGAAGGATCCTGGTAGAAGGACTTAATTGTTACCCTAAGTAAATTCATTTTAACAAGACTCTCTGGCTTGTCCTTTTGTGAATTGCTGTCTCCCTAAGTAAATCTTAAACTCCAGGAGCACAACTCTGATAAACATCCTGCAAAAGCAAATGGAGACTGCCACGCCCAGTCACTGATCTGCCAGATAAACATCCTGTGAAGTTTATGGAGACGGCTCCCTGGTTAGTAGAAATTTCTCTGCCAGCAAAAAGACTATGTGGCCAGTCCTAGGATGATGAACCAGATTGGTACTGGATCACAATCTTAGCTGTGAAAACCCCTCTAGGCTGCCTTTTGCCTCCCCCCATATATAATCTCAAGTCTGCTGCTGAAAACCCCTGAAATAGCCCTTAGCTCTGCCCTCCCAGTGTGGCTACAATGTAAGTAAAATTTCTTTCCTGTTGTACCATCAACTTCTCTATCTCATTTTCTTTCTCTTTTTTTCCGGTACCAGGAATTGAACTCAGGACCTTGTGAGCTAAATCCCCGGCCCTACCTGATTTTCTTTTGGGATGAGGGGCCAGATGTAGTCTGTTGGGAAGCCTAGGATCATGCTTCTACCCATGACTCTTAGCAACATGCTCACTTCGGCAGGTGATATCACTTCTTTTTTCACAACTCTCCACAACATCCTCCTTATCATTTAAACACCTCCCCCTTAGTATTTCTCCATAGTACTTATTAAGAAAACACATTTACTGTGTCACATAATTTATTCTTTGTCCTATTTATTGTCTGCCTTCCGTGAGCTTCGAGAAGCATAGATTATTTTTCAGTTTGCTTTGTAAACTGCTGTAGCTACAAAGCCTAGAACATAGTCATCAACTTTAGTTTTCCTGATCACATTTGTATCTTTAACTTATTGTTGATTCTCTACCTGACAGATTTGGGCCTTTTATAATTCCTTGAAGGATGGGTCAGTTTTCTTTTCAGCCAAATATGCACTGTGGCAATCATTTCAAATGTCACGCCAAATTTTCTCTCCTTTAGGCTGCCTCTACATATGTGAGTTCTGTATCTTATTTGCATCCTCTCTTCACGCAGGGTGGAGGGAAGATGCATCTAGGTCTCTATGGCTCAGATGCTATAAAACTCATCCTAAAACCACAGGAGCATTTTGTTCTTAAAGAATTGTAACATTTTTATGGTTCCTTATGTAGTAAAACAGAACAAAAACAGCTTTTTAAGAAACTGAAATGTCTTCACCTCGGAATCTGTAACTCAGAAACAGTAACAGAGCAACAATATAAAGTCACTTTTCTTCTCAAGTCACCTTCCAGAGACCAGCAGCTAACTTTAAGAAAAAAGAGAACTATTTTCTTGCGTCATATTACTGTGATATTTCTAACAAGTATAGTCATCAGGGAGATGACCAAAGGCCACTTTAAAAATACACTCTATCTGAATCTCACTACAACTTTCACTGCCATCTGTGATCTCACAATTTAAATACACCTTAGGGAAAGCTCCAAGGCTCAGGAGACCAGTCACAAGGATCATGGAAAAACAACACTTCAGTAGGAACACTGCTATTTCATCATTTAAAAAGTACATTGCTTAATTGGGATTCTTCAGAAAATAGCACAATGAAGAACACGAGTATAATGTGTCATCCCTTTTAGTATATGTGCTGTCGAAGCAAGCACAACACGAGTATAAAGTGAACACCACAGGGCGCTGGTTTTATACCAGTTTCCATATTATCTATCCTTGTCCCACCAGCAGCACACCTGGCTAGTCAGTCCTACATGTGTTAAGAAATCTCAAAGATGACACCACAAATGCTTCTAAACTCATCCAGAAGTGGACAGTGCCTAACCCATTAGAATCTCCTGGAGGGCTTTCTTAAAAACCTGCTGGGCAGGGCTCCACTCCCTACCCTAGTAGGCCTAGGGTAAGACTGAGAATCTGCATTTGTCACTACACTTGGTGCCTGGTGCCTGAGAACCATTGCACTAGGTAAGCTGTTTGCATTTTCTTTACAACAGGTATTCACACTCATAGAACGTATTGGGAAGATACGTTTCCTGGGTTCTGTTTAGCTGTCAAAATATAAAAAGCAGTATGTTTAAAATTCCTAGCCCAGTCTTCACAAAATCATTATGCACATTAGAAACTAGCTCATACTCCTACTCCTCTGTGA